GGTCTTTTAATATAAATGAAATAGTTTTTAATTGAATAAATCTCAATCTGAGCCTAAATCTCAAAATTGGAAGTTAATTACCATAATCTCAGACTCTCATACTCTTATGGATGGATGGATGTAACGAGTCTAAACTTAGTAGGCACAACATTGTAAGCATGTTAATCTTTTTCATGGATAGGTTGAAGGTATTTTTAGGGGCAGGTGTCAAAAAATTTTCTAAGTACTTAATCAACGTGTTCACTGTATGTGCCTACTTGATCTAGACCAGTATGTAACGGGTTTCTTCATGGTGTTAACTGACACTTTTTGGCTTGGATAAACAAAAAAGCATGGTTTTTGAACCACCGCTGACCTGAACAGTCGAACCGTTTGGCTTGAGAACCATCCAGGTAACCGGTTCCATTTTACCCCAAACCCGGTCCCTAGCCAAAAACCATTGAATCGGTCAATGACCCATTAACCTGGGCGGTCAAACCATTTAACCAATTCAATAGTTCTTGGCCATTTTAAATTTAAATTATTTTTATTTTTAATTTATTTTGTCTGAATAGGCCCTTTGTTTGGACTGGATGATCAAACCGTAGACCCAAAAACCAGTGGCCATAACGGTTCCATATGTGCTCATATTGTTGCAAGTAAGGCTAAAGCTGAGTTTGGATGTGGTACAAATGCAAATATGTAGAGTGCAAAACCTTGTACTTTCTATTATTTTGTATGTATTTGCACCGTATATATTTGTATTTGTATTCCTTACAAACTGAGCCTAAGGTTTTCAGGAATAGGGTAGTTTGGTGGGGCTCCTAAGCGAGTTGGTTGTACCCTTTTGTATCTATTTCTTTTCCATCCTAGGCTCAGTTTGGAAAGAATACAAATGCAAATATGTACAATGTAAATACATACAAAAGAATACAAAATATGAGGTTTTGCACTCTACATATTTGCATTTGTACTACTTCCAAACTCAGCCTTAATATAGTTTTCTCTTCACTTACAACAAAAAAAGTTACTATTAATAAATTAATTTATAAATAATCAAAATATCATATATTATTAATGAAATGAAATAACAATATTGTTTTACACTTTTATAATACTCGTACCTAGAGGTGTAAATTGGGTCGGGCCGCCTGCGGCCTGGCATGGCACCACACGAAGGCTAACGGGTCGTGCCAGTTCCGACACGGAGGTCCGTGCTGTGCTGGGCCAAGGGTTTGAGGTCCATGGGCTGGCACGAAGCATGGCCCACTAGGCCTATAACGGGTCGCGCATGGCCCACCCAAGAATATAGTCATTGGGTGGTTAGGCCCCTCCCCCCCAACTAAACAACCATATTAGGGGGGTATTTGTGTATTTTGCTTATGGGGTTGAAAAAATGACATAAATGCCCCCCAACAACTATATAACAACTAGTTTAGGGGAGCATTTTGGGCAAAGTTATAAGTAACTTTATAATGACCAAAATACCCCTCATAACAACTAAATAACATATAGTTTTTTTGGGTATTTTGAGCAATTGAACTATTCCTATAAATAGCCTATTAGCCCTATCCAGCTATCCTCCACCATTCTCATCACACCAATTCAACAATCAATGAATCAACATTCAACAATTCTCCTATTAAGTTATTACTTATTCTCTTAATCTCTTCAGCCTTTCCTCTCTTAGTCTCTTTCGGTCTCTCATACATTCTTTGCAATTTGAGTGAACTCTGATAGTCTCATAGTTTGATTCTCCAAGTTAGCAATTTGGGAGCTTGGAGCCTTGGACGTTGTCATGTTGAAAAGGCTTTAACTGTTGAAATCAAGTTGGGAATATGGAATTTTGAACCAGTAATCCAGGATTCTGGGGTAAGTCCAATTAACTTAATTTTATTTTTTAGAATTTGAAAAAAATGGCCAGCTCTTCCCTAAACCCCAAGTTTAGTAACCCGATTTAGAGAATATTTAAAATAGAGGATATTGAGGGGAAGGGGAAAAGAGTAGTTTGCCAAAAATGTAGAAAAGACTTTAGTAACCCACAACTTAAATGAATTTTTGAAATAATATTAATGGAAAATAAATTTTAAAATTATTGGGAGAAGTCGGAGACTCGGAGAACATTTCTCGCTGCCAATCCTACCATGGCACGTGATCCGTGATCTACTAACCCCTCCGGTGTTTATAGACTATGGTTCCATTGGAGTCTTGTTTAGTTGTTTTGGTGCAGGACCTGTAGGTACCACACTACAGCACTACCATTGTACCAGCCTACCAGGGTTGGCTAGATGCAGTTTATGAATCATGATGCAGAATATAGATTACAACTTTACAATTACAAGACAAAGGAGAGCATGATACTACAGACTACGACAATACTACATGCACTGGATATTTGGTTTTTCACCTGAAGCAGATGATGAAAGTGTGTGTGAATGCTTTCATCATAATGTATATGTAAATTTTGTTTAAATTGTAAAYTTTAACAWATAACCCATAATTTTTTATTTTGTCAAATTATTATAAATTTTGTTTAAATTTTATTTAATTTATTTGCTATTAATGTAATTTTGTATTTTCAGTTTGTAACTATATAGTCTATATAGTCTATAATTCTATATTGTATTTTTTATATTTTATTAATTTATTTCATTTTCATATTTCATTCATCCAAGTATGAAGTATCCAACCATTGTATATTTCATAATTTCAATATTTGTATAATTGTATGCTTTGTAATTTGTATCATTATTCATTCAAATTTAAATGAAATAAAATTCTTAAATTCCTATTTGAATTGTTTTATACTTTTATTTATTTATTCTTTGGGTTATTGGATAATCATAAATTTGTTATTAATTTATTATTCGTTTCCTGTCCTGATTCATGAATCCTGATCCAGTGATCTTGAATCCCGGATATGACAATAATCCATTCAGTGAGTCTATCCTGGTTCAGCCCAGGCCCAAGGCCCGCCCTATGGCTCAGCTCGGCACAACCCAAGCCCACAGCACAGCCTGCAGCGCAGCCCGACCCAGGTTCAGCAGCACGGCACGAGCCCACTTGGGCTTGCATCGTGGGCCGTGCCGGGCTGACCCGCAAAATTTCCACCAGGGAGGGCGGCACGACCCACTTTACACCTCTACTTGTACCTACCTTCACCTCTAGATGAATATTTCAAAATTCTAGTCAATTAATTTTCTAATTTTCACTAATATATTTAAATAAATCTTACTTATATATTAATTTTATGCAAATATGCATTACTTATAAGAGGCAAATTGCAAAAAGATACCTTGTATTTAGGGATGTCAGCAGGTCAGGTTTAGCATGGGTTTGCCTTGTGGCCCAACCCAAACCCGACTTGGCATGGCTAAAAAATGCATAATTTCTAAACCCAACCCGTCAAGCTGAGTTTACCATTTAACCCAATCCATTGACATCCCTACGTGTATTTTGGGATAGTCTTATTTTAGCACCTTAACTTTCAAATGTGCCACTTTAACCTAAACTTCCATAAATGTACATTCCATGGTTTTTAAAAACAAACCGGTGACTGAACCAATCAAGGGTCCGGTTACCGGTTTGAATGGTCCAACTGTTCGACCCGAACGGCTGGCCCGTTCTGACAAAAAAAAAATAAAAAAATAAAAAATTGGAAAACGGTTAAAACCGTTCAAACGGTTAACTGGCCTGTTCAGTGGTTTGCTGACCAAAATCAATGGTTTTGGGGGAAAAAGCGGTTTTGGAGGAAAACGGAATCGGTCAGGTCTCGGTTTTTTAGGTTCGACTGTCCGGTTCAGTCTGGTTTTGAAAATAGTGGTACATTCAAGTCCAAGTGTCCAACTAAGGCCAAATTTGAAGTGCTTATTCTACTAAGCGCTCATAATTATTTGGTCAAAAAGCACTTATTTCAAGAGTTTGGATTTCCTGCTCATGTCTACCTATATAGTATTATGCACAGAAAGATATTCCCAATACACAGGGGTAATGTGTTGTGGGTAGACATGAGGAGAATTATTGTGGGTAGGAGATCGAGAGTTATTTCAAATACATAGATATTTTTAAAGTTACATGGCAAGCCAAAAATAAGTGATTAATGAATAGGGAAAAGACATGATACTGAAAGAGATTTGATGAATCAAAGCACCTTGTGAATTTGATGAATACCACCCGATTAGTCACTTTTTTTTTATAATATCTGTTAATTGGCTACATGTTTTTCCCATATCATGTATTTCCCGTATCATAAACTAACCCGATTGAATAAGAACTTAAAAATAATCCTAATTTTGGACTTCTCAAATAACCACTTATTCTCAAAATAAACACTTATTTCATGGTTTCTAAAAATGAACCGGTGATCAAATTAGTCAGGGGTCCGGTTATTGGTTCGAACAGCCGGCTCGTTCTAACAAAAAAAAAAAAAATTAGAAAACAGTCAAAACTGTTTGAATGATTAACCGGCCGGTTCAGCGGTTTGCTGACCAAAATCAATGGTCTTGGGGGAAAAAGCGGTTTTGGAGGAAAATGGAACCAGTCAGGTGACTGGTTCCCGATTTTTCCGGTCTGACCATTCGGTCCGATCCAGTTTTGAAAGCAGTGACTTATTTAGAATTTATTTCCCAAATGCCAGCAATTGCTTATTGGTGTGATCCCTTGATCCGGCCCAAAATAATTACTCTTCCAAACTTGGGCTTAGTTAAATTGATATTATCGTGGGAGATAAATGTATATATATAAAGCTAAAATGTGTACTTGAGAAGGCCTTAGAATGAGGGAAATGGAATTTAATAGTATTTTTTACCTTTTTTTCATGGAAATTACAAGAATGCCACTCTCTACCAATTCTCTTTTTTTTTTCTTTCAAATTACAAGAATACCACTCTCTCTCTCTTATTTTTTTTCTTTCAGATTAAAAGAATGCCATTGGCACCTCGGCAATTGAGGGAGACCTCAATTCAATACCTCGGACGCTTGAAAGACTTATAATCAAGTTCGAACTTGTAAGCTTTTGACTCGAGCCAAACTCAAATTTCTAATTCAAATCGATATCGAACATAGTTTATGAGCGAGCCCTGCAACGCAGGGCCCCCTCCGCTAGTAATATTATTAAATTGGATATTTGGATTGTGGTGAATTTATATAAACGGATCGAAATCCGATCCCCTTAATCGAATCAGATTCGATTTTTGGAGTTCAGACAAATTGGGTACCGTTCGCAGCACTGATTCAGCCCAAGCCGGGGCCGTGGTGGTCCTGGTGGACCCGGGCTCGGGCTGAACTCTGCTCTCAATTTCTTATAGCATTATCAAATCGAATAAGCAAAAGATCCAACATAACATGTGATCCGATTCAGAGGAACACTTTAAGCAGTAATTAGAAAGCTGGAGACAGCGTGGGTTTAGCAGAGGGAGAAGGAGAAATGGATTTGGAGTCTCTTCTCCACCCATTAATCCCTACATGGAGCTCTGTAAGTAAAACTCAGTACTAATGGCATCACGAAATCTGTCCTTTTTTTTTGTGAATCTGCTTTCATATGTTCATGCTTGTGTTTTTGTCACTAGGTTGTTCTACTTCTCTCATTCTTCGTTTACTTGGGTTTTGCTGGATCTCTTATACCTGGGAAGATCGTTCCCGGCGCCATCCTATCAGATGGCACTAGACTTCATTATCGATGCAATGGTATGTTCTTTCGGTCTCCTCTCATTTGTCGTTTGAACTATCTTTATAATTCGATATAAGCTTTTTTTGATTGAATTAATAGAAGTTTCTTTTCAAAATATTTTTCCTATTCCTGTTCGAATTCTACGATTTTTGCAGAGAGTTGGGTTTGTACTGAGTATTTTAGTGTTATTCTCTTCTGCAGGCTTGGCTTTACTTATTCTTTTGGTTGCAACCTTAGAAGTCGGGGTGCGAATGAAATTGGTGTCGCCGACGGTAATATTTTTCTCTCTCACATCATAATTGTCCTTAGTTTGTGATACGGCCAAAACAGACCACCAGTCAGAAGTCTTTATTTATCTGTTAAATTTGTTTGTCATAGATTTAGAATAATGTATATTGCCTGCCCATACTTCAGATTTATTTCTTGTTATTTTTTTCCCCAAGGAAAATGATGGTGTTCCGCTTTACCAAAAAAAAATATAAAAAAAGGGGAATGTATGCTGATTTGTAATGTTGTATTGAAAAAGGTGGAAATAGTTGTTCTGGTGACTATTTTGAGTAGGGAATAGACCTTTGAGGTTCTTTATCCTAGTCAGGGATATTCGACATTGTAGTTTACCATCTCTTTCCTGGATTTTGGAATTGAGATTCTACTGTAATGTTTATTTTTTCCCTTTTGTTAGTTGGGTACTACCCCTACCTCCAACCCCCTTTTGATCAGCAACGAAGATATCAGAACCCCTTTTTCCTGTCTGTTATTTTGGTATCTGTTATATATAGTATTTTGGTGTCTGTTATTAAGTCCAAATTACAGAATATGCTGAACTGATCCTTGTCAGGGATGTCAGATATTGGCATTATAATCTCCATCTCTTTCCTAGGTTCCAGGGATTGCTACCAAGGATGGGATTGATTTTGTAACTGGGATTCTACCTCTATCTTTTTTCCCTTTTGTTAGCAGGATACCACCCCCACCCCTCCCTACCCCCCTTTTGATCAGCAAGGAAGATATCAAAATCCCCCTTTTCTTGTCTATTATTTTGTTATTTTCATATATAGAATTTTGGTATCTGTTATTACGTATAAATTACAGAATGTACAGAACTGATCCCTCTACAACTTCAGTTTTTCATCTGGTTGAGATTTGAAGGAGGTCAAATGGATGCATAATTCTTTTCTTATATCAATTTGCAGTAGTGTTAGGAAATGTTGTAGTAAGTAGTCAACTTTTTCAAATCTCCTTTTTGACTTGTATTTGGATATTTACAGCAGTATTGGCTGTTTAGTAATCATTTCTGTCACAGTTGCAGTTTAGTTTGTATGCTATGGTGTATTTTCTACTGCTCACTTGAATTTTGGGTTTTCATTACTCTAGCATTCAAATAACGAATGCAGTACTTCAAATTTATTCCAGTTATTATAAGTTGAGTTTGAATTATATCTTAACAATGAATTTTATTTATCAAAAAAATTATATCTTAATAATGAATACAGGTGATTGCAGACAGAGGACTTGAGTTACTTTCCGCTACTCTTGGATTCAGCTTCCTTGTAAGTTCATTTTTATACTTCAATAGTATAAGGATGTCATTGCTATATAACATTGAAATAGTTCAACTTCAATATTTACCACTGCATCAATTCTTGGCTAATGAACTATTTGTCGTGATAGCCATGTTGATGCCTTTAATGGTAAGGAAAGAATTTTCTGGAGATTGCTGCTACTTGCTTTTTGTTGCATGGTTCAGAATAAGCATAATTTCTCAGATTTTTCTGATATATTTGAAGAAACCATTGAGACTTTGGCCTCTATTGCTGTATCCCATGTCCAGGGGTTCCCCATACAAATTCGGTAACTCCCCACCCCTTCTCTAGCTAACCCACTATCCAGTCATTGTCTGATATTGACACCATCTGAATGAGCTGTTCATCCTAGAGTCCAAACCCTTGGCTTCCCTAAATAGGTCTAAGAGTCCAAGGTCCAGAATACTAATCCTATTACAGATAGGTGGTCTCCATCCATTTTAGCTCATGCCATCCTTTAGTGAAACCAAATTTAACCCTTTTACCAGTGATATTAGTCTCTTAGTAAATTTCCTTCACTGATAGGGCCTTAATAGCTTAATGGGATAGTCATCTTTATATCCACAGTTGGAAAAGAAGATGGGGGAATTTTTATTGGTAAGGATGAAAGATAGGGAACTTCTCATTGCAGAAGTTTAACTTAGCACTTCTCAGAAAATGGTTTTGGAGATTTAGCAAGGAGACTGGAAGCTTATGGAAGCAAATCATTTTAGCAAAGTATGGCGCAAGAAACAGGGAATAGGACCCAGGAGAGGCAATTCTGCATATGGATGTGGCTGTGTAGAGGGATAAAAAGATCATATCAGCAATACCATGGAGGAGTTAGGTATCAAATATGAAACGGGCATGGAGTCAGCTTTTGGAAAGATCCCTGGCTGGGTGATCATCCACTTATGGAGCTTTTCCCCTTACTGTTTGTAACTCTACTTAAATAAACAATGCTAGCTGATTGTATCACCCTGCAGAAGAAGGAGGTGGAGTGGAGTCGACTATTCACAAGGTACTTGAACGATTGGGAAATGCAGTCATTGGCAGGACTTTTACACATCCAGCCTGTAAAACTTCAGCTAACAGAGTAGGACAGACGAGTATGGGCTTGGGATAGATAGAAATGGTAGTATGATACCTTTTCTGTGAGTTCTTTCATCAATAATTTGGATCAAACAGCAATTTTGGTACCTTCCCTAGTTTTAAGGAAGGTAGCTTTTTGTGTAATGGACTGCAATGCTGGAGAAGTGTTTAACAAAAGATAACCTTATTAGTGATAGATAGGATTGCTAGGGTTCGTACAAGAGAAGAGAAAACAGGTTTGAAGGGTGTGTCTAATGTCTCACACACCCAAGCAAGTTGTATCATATAATAATGAGATACAAAAGATGAGAACGGACTATTTTGCCCTTCTCAAGTACAAGAAAGAATAAAAGAACAAACAGAACAATGTACAATGATATAGTAGTACATAGGATACATAATAAAAAGATACTCCCAAACAAGAGATCAGCTCTTATGAACTCTACAAATAGGAGAGGTATGGGGGTGGATAGAGAAACCTGTGTACTATGTTCATTGCATCTAGAATTGGTCAATCACTTGTTCCTGCACTACCAAGGAGTCAGAAATCTGTGGTAAAGATCCCTTGGTGTGTTTAAGGTAGAGGTTTGTTTTCTAAAATCTGTAAGATTGCTTTGGTGGTGGTGGGGATCTTTAGGGACTAAGAAGGGCAAAGTAGTTTGGAATATAAAATTCTCTTAGCAGTTTTTTGGACCTTGTGAGACAAAAGAGATGCATGAAATTTTGAGCATAAAAACAGCTCTGAGGACTTTGATGCCTCAGTCAAAGCAGCAGATGGAACCTGCTCTTTTGGATGCATCATTAGAGATTCAGATGGTCAAATCGTGACCCTAAAGTGTGGAAAGGTAGGCCATGCTCAGTAGTGGTTGCAGAAATTTGGGCTGCTTTTGAAGCCCACAAACTAGCCCTCCAGGTCCAAAACTCCCCTGTTACCATAGAAGGTGACTCTCTCTTAGTCGTCAACATCCTACTAAATCGTTCGAAGATCCCGTGGAGATGCGTAAAGCTAGTGGAGGAGTGCAAGTTAATAGCGCGAGGTTACATGGTCAGATCTCCTACTCACACACTCATCGTGAGGGAAACGCAGCAGCTGATTGGTTGGCAACCAGAGGAATGGAGAGTGATTCCCCTCTGGAGCCCCCGTTGCCCTGGAGCTTCAACTTCATCATTTTTCTTGACACAGCTGGCAGATCCACCCCAAGGTGGTGTTAGGTTTAGTTTTAGTCTTTAGTTCTCTGTTTCTTGTTTTGTTTGCTCTGTAATCTTCCTGCTGTATCAAAAAAAAAAAAAGCTCTGAGGACACACTAGCAAGGAAGGTAAAGGGTATCCTGTCTTCGTGGTTTTTAGTACATGAAGAATTTTAGGCCCTGTTTAGGATAGCTTCTGCTTTTGGGGCGAGTTGCGTTAACTAAGTCATGGTGGTTGAGCACCTGTGTTCTGGATAAGCTACATGGAGTAGCTTCATATAATCATATTACAGACTTACAGTTGCTTTTCGCATGTTTGGAATGACAATATTGGCTTTCTGGATTTTCAAATACAGCTTCTGTAGTTTCTGGTGGGGCCCAGCTCAGAACACCAGAAGCCACGACCTGGAAGCCTTCCCAAACAGGCATTTAGTGACCTAGATTACAACTCCTTTTTTTTTTCCTCTCAAATTCTGTTTTGTAACAGGAATATCTGTTGTAACTTGTAAGATGGGATGATTGTATATCCTCATAATACAGTTCCTGGGTGTAAAGGGGCTTTGATGTAAATTTTGTCATATGCGCATTTTGAACGCGGTACGATACTTTGTTTTTTTTTAAAAGGAAGTTGTATGGGAGTCTGTGTCACTGTCCATATCTAGACATCATGCATCATAGCCTTGCACACTAAGTAGTCCACTAGGCAAACAAATAAAAAGGAAGTTAGAGTCTGTATCAGTGTCCATAACTAGGCATCATAGCCTTTCACACTAGGTAGTCCACTTGACCAACAAATAACTGTCATGTCAAGAAGAGTTTAGAAGAATCTTCATATTAATTTGATGAAAATTTGTAAAGGGGAATCAGCAGATCACCTACTCATTCATTGCAACTTTTCTCAAAAGATATCGTGACACTTCCTAAACCTGACTGGATACAGTTGGGTCTCTCCAAGGCATATTCAGGAGTTCCTCAATCAGTGGCAAGGTTCAGGTTTGAGCAGAAGATGTAAAGTGTATTGGCAAATTGTGTTACATGCAGTAATGTGGGGAATTTGGGAGGAAAGAAACAGGCGCATATTTGACGACAAAATAAGATCTCTTGAAGAATTAATTTCAGATATTTCATTTTATTGCAATTTTTGGACTGTTAATTCTGAGATGTTTCAAGGACTTCCTCAATGATCTCAACAGAAGTATCCAAACGGTATTGTTTCTCCCAACCCACCCTCAACCAACTCAGAGATTACAGCTATCGTATATTGAAGAAGGGGTGATTCTAAACTTCGATGGAAGTGCTGCAGGCAATCCGGGTAAAGCTGGGATAGGTGGTATTTTGAGGGATGAGCAGGGCAATATCTGTTGGGTTTTCAGTGGCCCAATAGGTAATACAGACTCAACAAGGCTGAAGTAAGTGATGGCAGCGCTCACTGGAATCAGAATAATAAAAAGATTGGGCATTCAGAAACTATCCATTGTTGGAGATTGCTAACACTATCAAATGGCTGAAAGAAAAGAAAGGGGGTCCTTGGAGGTTGAGTCATTACCTGGCAGAGGCAAGAGATTCCTTGGAAAATTTAAATGTAATCTGCTGTGGATACTGAGGGAGTTGAATCATATTGCAGATGGATTAGCTAAAATTAGAGCAAGTTTGGAAAATTTATATAGCAACAGGCTTCCCCCCTTGTAATTTTGCTTTTCTGCTGTTTAAGTTCTTTTTCCTCTGTGTAGTACATCTGCTCATGTACTCCCTGTTGTTTTTCTAATGAAATCCGTTTAACCTTTTCTCAAAAAAATTTGTAAATGGTCAACACTTTCTTCACAATACTCTTACATAGTTACATGATGTTTCAACAAGCAAATTTTTTGATGGTTAATTTGGCAATCTTCAATTCTCAATGGAAAATATTCTCCCCTTCAGATCAATTAAAACCAAGGCCTCTAAATTAGGCTGACCATTTTTTCTGAACTTCTGCAGTAATGAGTCCTGTTCATACATCAATTCAGTAGGAAAAATTAATGGAAGAGCTCTCCTTAAGATCTGCTTCCTGAGCTTGTGAGTCAACTCTATCCAAAAACATAATGGTGTCCTCTGAAATCTGGAACAGAGAAATAAATTTCTTGAACTCTGTCTCAGTTACTTCTCTCTAATTAATTTGTTTTCTCTTTTGGTGGGGATTATTTTAAAAAGTGCAGGGAAAACTTCACTTTGTTGGTCAACCCCCATCACAATCATCTTCTAGAATTTCTTTTTTTCTTTTTTGTTTTGCTTCTCACTTTAAAATTAATGAAGGGCAAAGAGTCTTCCCAGGTTTAGATTATCCCTGTCAATAATCTATGTAGAGGGAAATTTCTAAAAGTCCCAACTGAAAATGTCATGTTTATTACAATTTTTTACCTAGCATTAAAGAATATGCTGTGCTTATGCATCTATCCTTATAATGTCATTTCATGGGTTGACACATCATATAGTATAGCAAATACCTGGCTCTCTGGTTGGCCACATTTGTAATGTCATTGTCACATCAAATTTTGTGCAATAAATATATAATGATTTCTTCTACTTGTTTTTAATTAAGTTCTCAACTTTTCTTGTTCAACCCAAAAACTTTATATTTCTATGTTAGGAACTCCCTAACTCGGGGACTTTTTCGAGGAAGCCTGCCTCCTGAACGAGAGAGAGAGAAAGAAGAAAGAGAGAGAGAGAGAG